TAACCCCCTGCTAATAGTTACCTACTATGTCTTCTACCATATACCAAAAGGCATGCTGATAATATTTGGAGTTGATGAAAAAAAACTAAGGACAGCCACTCTTTTAATAAGTTACCCCTCCAATTTTAATGGGGAACAAGGTCTCAATCCAATGATACTAATAGATATGGGTAGAATTTGAGGTGTTCTTGCAGTAGACACAGGTTTGAAAAAAATCTCCTCTTCTCAGCCCACTTGGTGGGGAGAGCAGCTGGTCTACCTACACATATAGTACATTTTGGTCAGGTATCTGAGGATGCTCACAGTAAACAACAGAAGGCTGAGCATCACCTCCAATCAAATACAGGTGGAGATGCCCTTGACTGCAGAGTGGGCCAGACGGAGCTGTACAAGTGCAAGAAGGAATACTGGAAGCCCAGTCCCTGGATAATCAATTGGCCGAAGATCTGGAGTAAGCAAGGATCACTTTCATAGACATAAGCTCTTCACACAAAATATGCTAACACTGGATCTATGCTTAACAGTGGCAAAGGAAAGAATAAAGGAACCCCTCTTATGTATGCTTTGTCCCTCTAAAATAATTATTTTCAGTAGGCTTCTCAGAAGAAGGACCTAACACCCAAGATATTTTAAAATGTAAACATCACCAAACCAAAAAGCAAAAGAAAAGAGATGTGCATATTTGCAACTTCCAATATTTTACAATACTCCAGACATTTTTAAGTCATTTAAAATTCTTATTCTAATGGTATAATGTCTCTCAAACTAGCTCAAGAAGCAAAGAATGGCCTTTCAAGGTCAATTCAATTTGTTTACATTCCCTAGATGGTTTTCTGGCTTCTCTCTCTGCTGATGGATTCCTTTTCTTGGACCCACTTTAAGTCTGGGAAGCCCTTGCCCCAGCCCCCCTCTGACAGGTTACTCTGTTCACAGCTGATATTCCACAGAGTTTGACCATTTACATTTTTTTATAAACTGCTTTACATTCTTGCTAAAGCACAGTGGATGTGCGATGGTGGGTGTGGGATGCTATTTCTCCCATGAGACTAAATTTCCTGAAAGCAGAAATTGTCTTATACTCCTGTTGTATCACCCATTCTGCCTACACTGGGGGTCTAGAACAGCAACAGGACATAGCAGTGCACAATCCACTTTGTTAAACTTAATGGAAGGTTCCAGCACTACAGACCAACCAGTGAGAAAAGACCTTGCTGCCTTTCAAAGTATGCCTCCCTTAAAGATGGGGTATCTACATCAGTTGCCGAGTTTCAGTGTGGTTCTGCAAATCTCAACTTGCAATTCAAGTTCTTGCAACTCACAGAAACTCTGTTCTAGTGGTGGATACAGGATGCTTAACAGGAACAAGTAACACTTTCTGAAATCTACTAAATGCGGGCATGCTGGAACCACAGTAAGTGGTTCCATGCTATAGACATGTCTAAAATAAATATTCTGAACCTCCCACACCTGCTCCTCAGGGCAGCAGGGATGACCAATGACCAATCAGCTTCAGTTTTGTGACAAGTGTTAGACAGAAGCCTCTGAGCTCCTGCTCACCCACAGAGGTGAGTGAACATCGGTCTGTTGGCTTAGAACACGTGGACAGGGCTCCAGTTACTGACGAGCTCGGGCACGCATGTGCAAAGAAGCTGCATTTGATTGAATTCAACTGCTCGGCCTGGAATTAATCAAGAGTTCTCTGTACAGGCCAGAGAGGACTGCAGAGCAATATAGCTTTTGTTTTTCTTCTAAAGCCCCAGAAATTACTGAAGAAGGCCCACAGACTACTGATTCTATGTGAGTTTAGGTCTGATAGGAAAAAAACAAACAAACAGATTCTTCAAGTAGAGAATAGAGAAATCTCTCTCCCTTCCTGGGTCCAGGACATCTGTTATCTGCTGCAAGCTGTGGACCATAAGTATTGACATTATTTGGGTTTGCATGAATCATTTTAATCTTTATTAATTACATAGCACGTTGCCAAAACAAAACAAAACTCTATACATTTCAGCTCTACCACAGAGGAAGGAATAAGGAAAGGTCAGGTGACAGGAGTCCACATCCAGTTGAAAAAAATCTAAAACATAAATCATTCCTACATATACTGGTTAGGTACACCTCCTGCTCCGTTACTGAAAAATGTTCCATGAACATAACTGTTTCAGGCAAATGACTTTATAGAGAGACAGGAAGAAATGCCAAAAATTAAAGTGTCTCTTTAGAGAGTGTGTTGAGCTGGCTGAGGATGGTTCCATAGTCAGCATTATATTTAGAGCAACAAGCTTAACAAGAATTACACTGGGCTTGTGGTTCTGCAAATCTCAATAGAAACAGACAGACTAATAACATGATTAGTATAGAGCTTTGTAGTTTACTAAGCTTTAAAACACATCATGACATTCAGTGTTCCTGAAACCCCTGTGGAGTAAGCAAGGCCACTTTCATTTTTCAGGTACAAATCTGAGGTCCACCGAGAGATTAAATAATGTGGCTGCAGTCGGAGTTAACAAAGTCAGGATGGGCTATCGACGTTGGCTGCCGAGTTTCAATGTGCCAGGCACTGTGCTAAGCATTTCACACACTGGGACTCCTAGACTCTTTGTAACAATCCTTTCTCACTAAGAACTGAAGGTCAGACTGGTTCCGTAACTTGCCCAGATTCAAAAACTGCTGAGGCCTAGAGAGTCTGATTTAGGCTATGTTTCCCCTGCTGTGGTCGATGGTGTTTCCCAGTCAGGAAACAGAGAGCAAAGACGTGCAAACCGAAACTTCTAATCCCCAAATGCTACCTTTTCCATGAAGTACTCTCTAACCACCATCTTCACCAGCCTCACACTGAGTGAAATCTTCTACCATAATCAGTTACCACACTCTCACTGTATCACCAGTATTTGCTGTTTTGTTCACATATCTTTGGGTGCCTGAAAGACTTGGACCATATCTTAAGTTCATAACTCTATTTAGTGGATTTTGTTTGAAACCAGTGGGCACAATGAATGCTTGGCGAGTGAATCCATGGATGGGCAAAATCCAGTGTTTTCTTATCTTGACTCTTGAGAATTATAATATATGCTATATATTTCTTTTAAACAATTAGAGAAGTTAGTCCAAAATGTCATTCCTGGCACAAATGCTTTTTAAAAATCTATGGCAAAGACAGAGAAATTATAAGTATGATTGAGGCTCTTATGATGCAACACGGGCCAAACTGTGGTGACTCAGGATTTTCTGAAAACTCGTGTGCAAACTTTTAAAATGGATGTGTACAAAACAGCTTTTGTTACATGATTCTACACATTCTCCTCTGCACATAATGTGCAGTCTATACTCTTCACATCCCACCCAAATTCTTCCCTGTGACATTTACTCTTTCTTTTCAGTCATAAGTGGAGAAAAAGAGCAACTGAAACTGCCCTTCTGCAGTGTCTTTTAACTTATCCAAAAGAGGATGTGGGACTCATAGTTAATGACTCAAGTGGCAACAGAATCAAGAGTGAAGGCACAGATCTGACCAGGGGTGTTTCAGATTCCAAAGGAGCTGGTAAACGTGAGGATGTCTGTGCCCTCAGCTTCTTTACCGTGACCTTTTTGGGTCTTTGCTCTCTCTATATATATATTTTCTTAAGTATCTGAATCCATTTCTCTGCACCATATCCCACAAAGCTCTTTGCTATCGTGAGAAAGTGAATCAGGAGGGGCTTCACAGCACAGCCCAGGGGATCCTCAGATGCATGGGGACAGTGCCCTACTGAACAGGACTCAGAAGGGCTGTGAAGGGCTCTGAACCTTTGAGTCTTCTCCTTCAGTGTCAAGCAGGCCTCAGTCAGACACGGACAGCTGATGACCACTCTGTCTAATAATGAAGGTCAAGTCAAATCCTCAGTCAATGCTCTTCCAATGCTAAAATCTGATTAACCCATAATTGGAGAAAAATTGGTAGTTTTACAAACAACTTGGCATTTTCTTCTAATTATGTTAACGGGAATCTGACATTTATAAAACATTTGTGCTTAGCTGTATGTTTCTACTCTATCAACAATAGGCAGAAGAAAACAACCTATCAGCCCTGTCAGTAGTTCGTTAGGGAAGCTGACTGTGCGCCCACCAACTGGCATCAACCTAGCCTAACGTTTGACCGGTATGAATTCACTCGCCCGGAGTGAAACGCTAATAGCATCTTTTTCATACTTCACTAAATTTCAATATATTCACACTCTACCCATCGCAGCTCTCATGGTGTACTGGATTCCCTTGTTCAGGTTTCAAAAAGGTAAATCACAAGAAAGCAAGGGTCCTCTGAGGTTTCCTCAGCAAAGCCTTTTTCCAGTGTGTGGAGTTGTCTCAGAACGCGTCCAGCCAACCTTCACACTTACCCTTTCTGATCCTTAGGCAACAAATGAGTTTTCAGTACACTCTCTAGAAACTTTTAGAGCAAAACACCAAAAATGTAAAATTCCATATATTTTAGGGAAAGATAGAGAAACTGGAAGTTCTTATAAACATCGACACTTTCACTGATGGTAACACAGGAATGACAAAGCAACTGGGGCTTAAACTTAAGGCTTTAAGAAAATCATTTACAAGAAGCTGAACTAAGGTCAAGCAAAGGAGTAGCTGCCAGAAGTAGAAGTGTCATACAGCCAACTCACCCATAGAACCCAGCAGGGCTGATGACTCTGTCTCAGGAAAGAGAGAGGGGGCAGTAGCCCTCTGAGCTGCTTTTTATTACTGTGAGTAAAGCAAATATAAGGCTTTCGCTAAAAGCCTCCAATATCCATTAGCTCACTTCACCTGGGTATCAGCTGAAATTAAAACATTCCAACAAGACAGGTAGATCACACACCTGTTCAGAAACTATGCCCGAAAAGGAGGATGCTGTTCTCCACACAATAAGGTAAAAAACATGGGATACATAAAATAATATAAACAAGCAAGAGTCAGGCCGATGGATTTGAAAACTGTAGTACCAATTTTTGAAGTCATTATGAGCATTCCCTTACCTGTTTTGGTATTGATGGTGAAAAAATTCTGAGGATTGCCACTTGTAATCCTGTATGTCAATTTCTCATTGGAACTAGAATCAGGATCCTCGGCCTGGATCTGAATGACAGATACATCCTTTGGGGAGTTTTCCATGATGACAGGGTAATAAATAGGATCCGAGGTCAGTGGGGCATTGTCATTCACATCTTCAATTTCAATGTAGACCTCAATGGAGGAATAGAGTGGCACAACGCCCCGATCTGTGGCGTACACTGTCAGCCAGTATGACCCCGCTGTCTCTCGATCAAGAATGTCTGCCGTAGAGATGACCCCTAAGAGAGAATAGAGAGATGGTGACTGCTCAGCAAACATGGGAGAGTGTGAGCAAGCCATCCCAAATTCAGGAGGGCTGCATTTAGCCATCTTAGTATATGAAAAAAAAAAAAATCCATAATATGAGATTAAATTAAGATGTTTGTTCTGTTGACAAAAGAAAATTATTTTCTGCAAAACTGTATTAAATTGTTCTTCTATAGTTCGAGAACATAATTACATTCACAAAGACTTTATTTGATTTGTTTGGGGATAGATGTATCTTAACACACACACAGAAGAGACAGTACAGGGGCAAAGGGAAGAGAGGGGGGCAGACATGCAAACACTTCCCAAGTTGCACGGGACATTAGCGAGCTACCAAGTCAAGCTTTCCATTTGATTGGATATTGAATTGACTTTCCATGCAACAAAGAGATCTCCCAAGGTAAACTATTTTATTTGTTCATTCATAAAATGAAAAAGAACTTTCAAATGTTTCTTTGCCTGCGAGGATGGAAAACACTTTGCATGCAGAGACGGAAGCCTCCTTCATACTGTTCCCCTGAAAATCAAATATCACAGTCATTCCAAGAGAATCAGAGAAGGAGCCATACCAACACTTCCTGAATGAGCTTGAGCCCCCCTAAGAACAAGAGGACCCTAAATGAACTCCGAGCCACTTTGAGAGACACTCATGGACAATCATTCTAACTTAGGACCAGAAAAATACTCTATCTGCTCCCTCCCACTTTCCCATTTCATGGCTGAAACAAGTGCCACAAGGGGAATCAGATGTCTGCAGAAAAGCCAAAAGCACAGGGCTCTTGAATATCTTTACAGCCCCCACCCCAATCCCCAGGCTACAGAAACTTGACTACAGAACTCCTAAGCACTTTCCTTGGTGATGGAAGACTCTGGGGCTCAGCTTATAAAAACCCTAAGAGGAGTCAGGATATTCACAAAAGGCATGTAATGCATATAAATCATTATGCCTAAAATACACTCATGGAAGGAATCAGGAACAGGCCTCTGGCCTGAATCCTCTAGCTGCCATACTCCTGTCAGCCTGTTGACTGTGTTGGGTACATGTGGCCTGCACAAGCAAGATGCCAGGGCCTGAGAGGGGGCAGAGCATCACCCAGGAACAGGCTGAAATACTCAAACTTGCTTAAAATTCAGAACAGGTAAACTATGCAAAGGGAGATAACCCAACTGGTGAAGTTTCACCTCCAAAGTTATTCATACAAAGAAGCGCATAGTGTGTGACAAAGGAAAATCTTAAATATTTTCAATAGAAATATGTTAACTATAATGGGTTTCTGTAGATTCATGAGTGATACCTACAAGTCAGAACAGAAATGCTGACATGGCATTAGAAGAGTAGAACATGGTTATAGACATAATGCTATGGGTCCAGACACTGAATGAATAACAGGCAGCCCTATAAACTAGGTTGAGACAGGGTACCATGTCAACATGACATCAAGGTCCAGAGATGGCTCTGAGGGCTGGAGACCTGGCCAGGCACAAGCAGTGCACAGGCCTGTCACAGACACCAAAGCACACACAGTGCTCATAGCCATGAGGTGCAGTGCAGACATGGGGGCTTCCTGCTAACCAGGGGAACTGGAGCTCTTCAAGTCAGAGGATGACCAAGTGACATGAAATCAAGCAGTCTATGGAAAGGAGACAAAGAATTGGCAGGCAGGTTCTCAGGTACAGACTACAGTTTGCATAAAATGCTCTAAAGATGCCAGAAAGCAGCTCTTGCACGAGACCTGTCAATTCAATTCAGAAGCATCTATTGGACCCTGTACTGGACACTGGAGGAACAGACGTAAATGAGAGGATCTCTGTCTTCAGCGGACTTGCCATCTTGCTGAAAAGACAAGTCTCTAATGAGAAGATCTGCACTGGGGTGATAACCATGCAGCCAACAGCCAAGACGACTTATGTCATCCAACTTAGACTGATATACTGGGAAGGGCAAAGAATCCAGAACCATAAGGTTCTTTACACCCAAGCATGCACATGCACGTACCCACACACACAGAATTGCTCTATGATCCCTGAAAGTCACTTAATTTTCTCACTTGTACCTGCTGAACTGGAAGATGGTATATCACAGGCTTTGGTCATTAAGTGATTTTGAGAAAGCCTTGGATTAAAGGCATCCACTAATACTAATTAAAATATATGGGTAGAATTTTACTCTATTTTTTGATGAAAGATCAGACATGTCCTCTAGCAATTAGAATTCTCTCTCACTAAAATAAAATGTCTGTGGCTATATTTACACACTCATTAGAAGTGTGAATGAATATCTTGGAACACAGTGTTCAGATATTAGTCTTATGTTCCAAAAATTTGAGGACAAAAGAGAAAGAATGACTGAAATGTGTTGATAATTATAAGGTTCATCCAATGCTCCTTAGTAACCACATTAATGCAACCAGTGATAGCATTTCTTTGCTTCCTACTATGCTCTGGTAGCTAATTAAAATCCATATGGTCACAACTGAAAATGTAAATCCACATGACCTTTTCTATCAAGGAACAACTCACTTTTGAGGTAGCCCAAGGATAGCAAAAATCATGTGTCATGAGCCCTTATCTTTGAGACGACTTCAATGCATTATTACTTTTTGTAAAAATTGAGGTATAACTGACATACAATAAACTATGCATATGACAAGTAAACAATCTGGCAGGTTTTGATACCCATGAAACATTATCATAGTCAAGATAACAAACAGAACCATAATCCCCAAAAGTATTCCCCTTCCCATTTTTAACCCAAATTAAAAATGTTTCCCAATCTTCCCCACCCCCAGGCAACCAGATTAGCTTTTTGTCACTGTAGATTACTTACATTTCCTAGAATTTTATAGAAATGGAAACATACAGTATATACTTTTTTTGTCTGACTTATTTCACTCAGATTATTTTAAGATTCCTCCATGCTGTTGCGTATGTAACAATACAGCACTCTTTTTGTTTTTTATTAGTATTCACTTATACGGGTCTACCACAATTTTCTTAAGCATTGAGTTGTTGATGGACATCTAGGTGGCTAGCAGTTTTTTCATATTACAAATAAAGCTGTAAGTTTTGTGTGTTAAGTATACTTTATTACTCTTGAGTGAGTACCTAGGAGTAGAATAATTATATCATAGCAGGTGCATTGTACTACTTTATATTCCTGCTAATAGTAAATGTGAAGCCTACAATTGCTCCACATCTCACTTGTGGTGTATTTGGCACAGCCAATTGCCTTAATTTTTGATATTCTAGTGGATATGTATTCATAGGTTACAGTTTTATTTTGCCTTTTCCTAATGATATTGAGCACCTTGAAAATTTTTATTTTCAATCTGTATATCTTATGTGGTTAAATGTTCAAATTGTTCATCCATTTTTAAGATTGGGGTGCTTGTTTCCCTATTATTATGTGAGTGTATATATATATATATGTATTCTTTATTAGAACTGTGATTTACAAATAATTTCACTAGCTTGTATCTTGTCTTTGCATTCTCTTAATATCTTCAAGAATAGAAATAGTTCATTTTGATGATATTCAATTTATCCATTTTTCTTTCATAAACCATATTCTCATAAATAACATATATCTAAGAAATCTTTGCCCCAAGCTCACAAAGATACTCTCCTCCATTTTTTTCTATAATTTAATAGTCTTAAGTTTTATATCTATGAACAGCTTTGAGTTGATATTTGTATATGGTGCAAGGTATGGCTCTAAGTTCATTTACTTTTTTGTGTGTAGATTTTCATTGTCCCAGCTCCATCTGTTGAAAAGATTATCTTTCCTCCATTGAACTGCCTTTGCACCTTTGTCAAAGATGAAGTGATCATGCATGTGAGTCTTGGACTTTCTGGACTTGGCATTCTGTTCCATTGATTTCTTTGTCTATATTTGCATCAATATCACATTGTCTTAATTAATGTAGCTTCATAAGTTTTGAAATCAGGAAGTGTACATATTAGTATTTTGCTCCTCTTTTTCAGAGATTTTTTAGTTATTTCAGATAACTTGTGTTTCCTTGTGAATTGTAGGATCAGGTTTAGGATCCATATAAAATTTAGAAAGACTTCCTAGGAATTTCTAACTGGGACAGTGTTGACTCTATAGATCATTTTGAAAAAAACTGGCATTTCAACAACTTAGAGTCTACTGATCCATGAAAATGGTGTATCTCTCCATTTATTTATGTCTTCTTTTATTTCTCTAAGCAGTGCCGTCTATACCTCCAGAATGCTAATCTTGCACATCTTTTGTCAAACTTATCCCTATGCATTTCATATTTTTCATGCCACTGTAATGACATTATTTTAATTTCAATTTCAACTGTTTGCCGATAGTGTCAGTACATGAAATATGATTGATTGTGTATGTTGATCTTATATTCTGCAACCTTGTTAAAACTCACTGGTTGTAACAGTTTTTACAAATTATATAGGGTTTTCTACATAGATGATCATAACCTCTCCAAATAGAAGCAGTTAGAAGGGGAAGTTGGGGATTCAAAAAGATATATGCACCCCTACGTTTACTGCCACATTATTTACAATAGCCAAGATATAGAAGTAACCTAACTTTCCATCAATAGATGAGTGGATAAGGAAGATGTGGTACATATCCACAACGGAATATTATTCAGCCATAAGAAAGAAAGAAAGCCTTCCATTTGTAACAAGATCTGTGGACCTACAGCGAATTATTTTCAGTGAAATAAGCCAAGCAGAGAAACACAAGTACCATATGATTTCACTTATTTGTGGAATCTAAAAACAAAACAAAACAAAATGAACAAAATACCCGTAGACTTGGGGACATTGAGAAGTGACTGGTAGTTACCATGGGGCAGGAGCTGGGGTAGGTAAGCAGGGAGGGTGAGAGGGATAAAGGGGCACAAAAATTTACATTCATAATATAAGTTGTTCACATGGATGGCAGTACAGCATGGAGAATGCAGCCAATGATTCTGTAACATGG